GTGCACAGCGAGCCGAATTCTATTTCGTCTGTGGAAGACTTACGAGAAAGGATTGTGGATGCAGCAAATAAAATGAGGACCACGTTGACCACTGGAGTAGTGAAGACTGGTCTCCGTAGAAGGATGCGACAATGTATCAGAAATAGAGGCGGCCATGTTGAACATGAACTGTAGAATAAGAAAAACTTGTGTGAAAACCTTTAATAAATGACATTTCATGCTTAACTATTGTTTTATTTTACTTTTTTGGGCTAAGTATAAATTTTCTTCTCCACTGTCGCCTATGAAACTAAAGTTTTTTCAATGCATTTGAATAAAACCTTAGATTATTATACCTCGTTAGATAGCTGATGAAACGTAGATATTTTAAAAAACATCTGCCGAACAATTACCATAATATTGTTTTTAGATATCCGTTAGAGAAAAATAATTTTCTAATATTTTTTTTTATTTCTTTACTTTCACTTGTCTACTACGATCTATTCAATTAACTTATGAACTATTTTAACGACTGACGTCCTAAAGCATCTTATTACACATGTAAAAATGCAAAAATAATAATAATAAGATACACAAAATAAACAAAAATAAATGTAGTAGCCTAAAAATCAGCAAATTTCAATAAAAAAATTAAAAGACGATTATCTCGAAAAGGGTTAAGGTTTAGGGTAAGGTGTTTCATAGTGAAATATGTCAGAAATGATGGGTACTCCACGCCCTTAACGGATCTAGCACGACTTTTCTTGTAACCCTGTATATCCAGCAGTTAATAGGCAACTGCTGGATATAGGCTTCTATTTAAAAAAGAAGTTTTGGCCCACTATGTGATTGGTATTTATTATATGTTTGGTTTGTCTCGAATGTCGCCGTGCCTAAAACTGGAATAATAGCAAGCAGTGTGTTACTATACAGTAAAGTTCTTAATATCAGCCTGATTTTTAATGAAGCTTAAATTTATTTTTTGTCATCTTTCATGACACAGATTTTTGATTCGATGGGCGATGGGTGATGACATTAAAACGTAGAGTTTACGGTTAATATTTTTAATTACATAATTGCAAAAAATATATTTCATATGAAATTCCGAACTTGGAAGCTTAGCCATTAGTTGTTTAATAGTTCTGTAAGTGGTATTTCTTTTTACTAAAATTTTAAAGTCCTATCTTGAAATTTTTAAAAGACCGTTATTCTAACAAACTACCTAATCTGATTAGATTTTTCTTGAGATATACATCTAGCATTTTATTAAAAGCAATATGGAAATACATTTATTGGTTATTTTCTAATTTAAAGCAATAAATGCAAAAAAATGAAATCATTATTTTGACAAATTTTAAAGAAAATATAAAGGTAGATGGTAGGTATACCTACACTTTCCTTAAAATTTGTGAGACTGAACATGTCATAACAATGGAATAAAACTATGGGAGTTTTGGTATACCTAATGATAATAAATATGGTATAATACACAGTAATATTAATTCACAAGGATATCCACATACTATCATAAGGCTAAACAAAATTAGGTATTATTCGTGGTTATGAAGCTTGGGTTTCTAAATCAAAACCATACCACGTTATCGTCGTCATATTTGCGTAGAATTACTTATTCCACACGTGTTGGCTCAAAAAGGGCGAGAACCTACTTATCTGCTTCATATTGTGTAGTAGTATTTTGATCCTCGATGTTCACCAGACGCCGTGGTATCGCCTTACACTGAACATACCACCGAGTGGAGATTCACACGAAATGTCTCACATTGAAACCACTTGAGTGTCTTGACTGTGCACTTACACTTTGCACTCTATACCTATACTTGTACAACTTTCTACTTAGTTACTTCTGATCGAAATATTTTGTATCACATTCTAAATTGTTTGAAGTTTACTTAAAATTAAAATCATAAAATCACTACGTGTTTGAATTTTCGAAGTGTAATGTAAACCTTAACGGATGAGAAACTAAAAAAAATTAAAGATTAAGGCGTAAAATTGAGCATGGTGTTCTCCGCCTCTGTAATTAATATCTTATGTGTTGGCGCACAAAAAGTGTGTTGGCCAAAGTATACGATATCACTTCGGCGGTCGGTCCATGTGTACCGTATGTGAAACGCGAGCCGCCGACATGCGCACGCGCCTCGCGCTTCATTTGCACTCAATCTTAATATTGCAGCCATGATGCACCATTACAAATTCATAAAGACCTTTTTTGTACAATGTTTTTGTTTCTGTGGAAGTTACAAATCTCGAAATTGTGACGTTACTCATGCGCTGAAAGTTTACTAATGTTCACCAATTTGATAGTTCCTCGGTTACAAGCTATGGATTAAAGTAGGTAATTAAAAAACTGGATGCAGTAAATTTTGTGTACATAACATGATTCGCAACTGGAAAACTAGCCAGCGGATGCTGGCTACAACGATCAGTCTTATCATTAGTCGGTAACATCATAAACTGTGTGAGCGATAAATCAGCCTCACTTCGCATAAATACTCTTAGTAGCATAATTACATAATTTGCTGATATGTTTATCGGCCTCATTAGTGTCGGTCGCGAAAAATGTGAGAGTGATAAGGCAGGGGTGAGAACAACGACGCGTTGTGTTCGAGCCGCGGGGCGGGCGCGATGAGCGCTCGGCGGAAACGCGCGGACGGGTAGGGGTCGCCTCCTATCTCGCGCATCATCCGACGACGACCTTAAATTATACTGACGATAATACATTCTGAGAAATATTCTTGAACCATCCAACTTTAAATACCTATATGAAAAGTCATTTTATTAATTTCATTCCGCCGATTTTATAGAGCAAATACTATTTATAATAAAAAATGTAAAGTCAGTCAGTCAGTCTTAAAAAGTCAGGGCCGAGGAGGCCACTCGGCCCTGATTTTTTAAGATTTAAAGTAAGAAGAAACGATGCCTTTGGTGAATAAATAAATTGACATTCCGGCATTTTGTAGATATAAGTAGGAACCTAGGTATTTTCTGCCGCGCTTAGTATAAGAATAATTAGGTAATTAATCCTAAAAGTTTGTAATAAAATATTCCAAGTCAAGTAAGTTCGAGTCTATTTTCATATTTATTTTTGTACAGTATTTGGTTGTATAATTTTACGTACACATTTACCTTTATGGAGTACAAGTAGGTTATTTCCAAAAATAATCAAAACTTAAATTAAATGAATTGTAAGTATTGCCAAGAAAAGTCACTCGGAATCAGTCTGTTAAAGTATACTTTACTGTATGGTACTTTACATAACGCAAGGCTTTAGTAGCAGAAAAAAAATAAAAAAAATCTAGTTTTAATTATTTTAAAATTTTAGAGGAGTTCTCTGACTTAATTGTGATTAAACTCGTTTTTAGTTCAGCATCTCAGCTGGTCACTCCCCGCCGTGTGACAGAAGTAGCGTACATACTATGTTTTCGATACTTCGGTAATTTCATGAATTACTGTTGCTGTTCTTGTTGTAGGTATAGAAGTCACAAGGTTAGAAACGTGGGTGGGATAACTGGCAAAAAAATGAGGTCGTAGTTAGTTTGTAAAAGTATCATGAGGAGATAAGCATTACAAAGAGTTTGATCCTGGAGGTGACTCATTATAGTATCACTTAGCTGTTATATTATCAGATTTTGATATACACGCATATACACGAGTATACTTATTAGTAAGAAAATTAAATATCTTAATGGTTACATTGTAACCACATCGTAGGTACTACCACTGTAGCTGAAAACGCTCTGGGACACTACGAGTTTAATATAAATAGTGTAGCAAATCAGTATGATCCTATCTTCTTATTCAAGCGATGAAACGTAGGACCATAGTGGTCTAAAATAAATCATATACCTAAAAACGTTAAATTTTGTGTTTCTATTCCACCCAAAAAAGTAAAAATTTCATTCTGATATCTATTTTACAATAACTGTTATTATTTTTGCAATTAAGTTAACACGACTGAGTTTACAGTCAGCCCGCAAAAAAATCGAAGAGTTGTAAAGCCGTTTAAAGTGAGATTGAGATTTAAAAGGGGTAGTTTGTAACATTTATAATATAATTGCACATTTTTGAGTAATTGAAAATATACCTACTACTATACTACTATTAAAAATTCAAGGGTGGTATAGAACATAAAAAAATATATTTATTGAACAACATAATTACCTATTTGCTATAAAACTACAGCTAATTAATCACAACAATAACTTATTTATTACATAATTGTCACTTATATTTCACTTACTTACTCTTAATTTACTCTAAGTTTACAAATAACTTTGGTACTCAGAGGAATTTGTAAAGTACCAATAGGTATAATCCTATATTCTTAATTGTCAGTGGTGGTTAAAACTGCATTAGACAAAATTTCGATAAAGTACATTTGCAGATCTGCACAGTTAATTGTCAGCAATAAGTAAATAAAACAGAAACTAGCAATGACAAATTTGAAAATTACGTAAATTCTTAGACGTAGGAAACGTGAAGAATTTAAGAATGGCTTTTTTTTATTTATTAGACTAGGCATCGATCTAATTCATTCAAACTAACATGGATTACTAGGAGAAAACATTAATTAATGTGCAATTCCAATTTTACTCACTTATGTTTCAAGCAATCTTATAATTACATACTGATAAATATTAGATAATTTCTAAAATATATACGATTGAAGAACCGTTTAGTAACCATTCTACGTATGTATATCAACGAAATCAACTCTCGATACTAAAAACTAATAGTTGAAGAAAACATTTAGCATAATAAATATTTATTCAGCTTACACAAATTAAACGCACGTGCGCGCCGTTTCGCACAAAGCTTACATATCTACATACATATATATGTATATTTACAACTTATGTGACCTACATTTATAAGTAACAAAAATGAGCGACGATAAAATATCCCCTACTTACTAACTTTGATAAAACTTTTAATTTTAAACGCTAGAGCTAAAAAGTCTTTGAGTCATTAATGTAGAAACACAACACCGACTTTGTGGTTTAAGATTCGTAGTGTTGCCAGTCTAGACAGGGGCTGGGAAAATGTGGTGGCATTGGGGGGTACAAAGAAGTAGCCGGATGATGTGCTAAACTATGAGTCGGATATCGAGGCTGCAACTCATGATAGTCGGGTACTGGTTTTAAATATTGCTCCAATTCGGCATTATCTGGTGGTCCATCCGACAGCAACGCAGGCGAAATGTCCGGTATACCTGCGAAGTCGATTTGATCCCTTTCCGGGGATGGTTCCCGCTTCGGTCTGACGGCCGACGCTGGAGGCACCTTACGTCGCCGAGGCTGGTATTTGTAATTTGGATATTTTTTCTTATGTTGCGATCTCAAATTTTCTGCTTCCCTGATGAATGGCGATTTTTCATCTTCGCGTAAACTCCTGTAAAAGAATTTCAATATTAATATTTGATACAATTAATAAGATAATCTATGAAGATTTTAATCAAATGTTTTTGTGGGACGTGTGGTGAGCGGCGCGCGGCGGTCGACACGAGATAGCATCGGCGCAACTATTGCCAGATGCCGCCGGTCATTCCTAATGTACCATGAGCCATGTACAGATGCATATTTCACTGGAAATATACCAACTATGCTTACTGGCATTGTATGTTTATAAAATTATATGAGAAAATTTTAGTATTTTTGTATTAAGATTGATTAACATAAATATCTTACTATCAATATAATTGATATACATATACAATATAATATATAATTGATTAATATTTTACTAACAATATAAAAGTAACGCAAGAAGATAAAATTGTCAGTTCCATATTGTCATGAATCACGACTTATGTGGGCCGAAATCATTGCAAATCTCGGAGGAAAGTATGAGAATCCAAGGATATTTATTATAGACTTAAGTTGACTTGACTAAGATGCGTTGTCTTCTGTTCTGCTAGATACGCTGGCTAGCTACTGTTCTCTCCTAATTCTACGCCATTATCATACAAATCATATTGGCGTAGAATATAAATTGAATTCCATTGTAAGGTATAAAGTTTAGACAGTCATAAGCTACCCACAATTGGTATTCATAACTGGATTCAATTTAGAGTATCATTAATATTATATATCTGAACACATTTACATAGACAAAAATATCAAATATAAAAATGAAATTGATACTTTGATGGTTACAAAAAGGTAATATTATTTCAGAATATTGAAATATAACTGTATATTTAATTGATACAAAAGTCAGCGAAACTAGATACTTAATCCTAGAACTTTAATTTTTAACTCAACATTTAACATTAACGATCTTGCACTTTAGAGATACTTACATTTGTATTTTCGTGTGGTGACGGATTAAGAATACAGAGTGTCACCACCCCTATCCAGAGAAGGAAAACTTGACACAAACCCTATACCAACCCGTCTGGCCAGCGTGGTATAGTAGGCCAAAACCTCCTTTCTAAGGAGAGATGGCCTAGGCCAGCAGTGGACTAGTAAAGGCTGTTGATGATGATGACATTTGTTTTAGAACAACAATATTTCCAACTGTCACAAAATTGTTACAAAATTTTGTACAAACTGCAAACCTTTATAAGACATCCTTATATTACTAAAAATAGAAATATATACCTAATACTAAAAATATATATATCGTTACCGTTTTATGATCATCAACAGCCTTTACTAGTCCACTGAACATAGGCCTCCCTTTAATTAGAAAGGAGGTTTTTGGCCTACTATATCGCGCTGTCCAGACGGGTTGGTATAGGGTTTGTTTCAAGTTTTCCTTTTCTTCCCTGATATATATATATATACATATAAAATAATTTTCTATCAATGCGCTTATGATGGATGGAGATGATAAAATATTATTTTTAAAACCTTTAACCTTGCTAATCTAGTGATCGATATCTGCATCTCGAAAGTGCTGACAGTGTAAGAGAGCCCACCAATCACAACAGAGCAATCAGGCTCACTTCACCGACTGTTTTCTTTGATGATTCGAGAGTTTGTGGGCATGTCAATTCGTTGTCATTCGGATCGTGCGAGGCGTGCGGGTGGCCGACTGACTAGTCGGCTACAACTTGCTTTTAGGATCGTCAAACGTTTATTTGAACTTTATTATTTAAAACTAGCGTTTGCCCGCTGCTCCGCCCGCTTATATGTCGGTCAGCAAGCGGTAAGCCTATATCTTTCCTCAAGAATCAAAGTCTCGCCAAGCCAAATTTCATTTAAATCAGCGGTTATTGATATAATCTATCCTATGTCCTTTCCCGGGACTCAAACTATCGCTATACTAAATTTCATTGAAATCAGTTTAGCGGTTTAAGCGTGAATAGGTAACAGACCGACAGCCAGATAGACACACTTACGCATTTACGAGTATAATATTATATTATAAATAAATATTATATTATAAAAAAAGGAAAAAAAGACTGGCCTGTTGGTCTAGTGGTTAGTGACCCTGACTGCTAAACCGCAGGTCGTGGGTTCGTTTCCACCCAGGACAAATATTGTGTGATGAGTACGGTCATTTGTTCTGTGTCTGGGTATAATTTATCTATAATATGTATTTATTAAAAAAATATATATGTATATTTATCAGCAGTCTGGTTACCATAGTACAGGCTCTGCCTAGTTTGGGATCAGACGGCCGTGTGTGAGATATATATATTATATTATAATAATAGGGGTTAAAGTATTAAATTGCCGTTGTATATTAATACTTTGAATTGACATAAAACCTCATGGTGTGAGATTTTCGCGTGAAACTTTTTTCACATGATACCTATGAGGTTCTTCTTTTAAAAAATGTGCAACATTCTATTTTATTTTCAATAGGTTTTTACTGTTCAGCTTAGACGTGAAAGTTTTGTTTCGAAGCGGAACTCACGCGGCTACGTTTGGAGAGGAGACTGCTAATAACGCACAGTGCGTTTTTGGTTTAAACGAAGACCGCCATCCAGCTTTGGATGAAAAAATTCTTTGCTTAGCCTAACTGTTTAATACTTATTGACCCAGATAGCAGTTATTTTCATGTTTTATTTTAAGTAGGTAGATATTAACTTAAAATCTAAGAAATATTACACCCTAAAATTTTTAACTATTTCTTTCTTTCTTTCCAATTTAAAATCTAAGTGAATAACGCTGAATTGAAGGAGATGTTGGAAGCCGATCCGAGTTAAACTACCCAGGAATTTATGCACGGCATGGTTTAACATTACCCTTTTTTTTTTTTTTCTTTTTTTTTCCGTGCGGAAATCCCCTCGGATACCACCTGTCGGTGGCATGTCGGACACGAACCGACTAAAACCGCACGCCGTCGCCATGTACTAATAGCCGGGGAACCAGGTATACCCTAGAAAGGAAGTCCCTGGTGCCCCGACAACATTACCCTACCTACAATATTAACTCATTTGCATCAAATCAATAAGATAAAAAAATATGAAAAATGTGTGCCTCATGATTTGACTGATCTGCAGAAAGAAATAAGTGTTGAAACTTGTGTTGCCTCGTTGAATCGATACAGAGATGAAGGAATATTGGATCGAATTGTGACCTGTGACGAAAAGTGCCGAACTTCGAACAATGATGGTGAAACTGGCAGTGAAACAGCCCGGACTTGTGAATCGATATTCACCATTATTGCTCCACGATAACGCAAAACAGAAACACAAACACTGCACAAGAAACCGTTATAATTCTACAGGAGCTGCAGTTAGAAACCATACATCATCCTCCGTACTCGCCAGACCTTACTCCAACGGTCTATCACTTTTTTCGTGACATGAACAATTTTTTACGTAACAAAAAAATTCTTCCTAGGAGGCAGTACAAAATGATTTCACAGTTTGTCGAATCTAGATCCCCAGAGCTCTAGCGTAAAGGCATAGATGGCAGCAATGTATAGATAATGAGGGTAAATATTTTGATTAAATAAACATGATACATCTTAGAAAAAAAACGAGTTTCAATTTTTCAGTACAAATCGGCAATGACATACTTTAACCCCTTAAATTAGTATGGAGTAGTGTTACTGATGTCCTATTCTATGTCAAAATATTATTACAGTCATTAATCTCATCTATGTGTTTGGGTCACGTTTTTTAACTTAGTGTTTACTAACTACGAGTATATCAAACTCAATTAGACGTGGTCATGAAATCCAAAATTAAAGTACACTAAATGAAATAAGAGAGGTTAATATAAATAGGTACAATGATTGTTTTTAAACTTTTTAAAACTAAATAGTCAAATTAAACTGATAGAGATGGTTAGTCCAACCGTGATTACCACAACCGATTGTGGTGATAAATCGGTACATATTGTTTTGAATGTTTTAAATCACCACAAAAGAAATTTAATATTGCTTAATAAATATATTTCGTACAATATAAGTCTGTAAGTATATACTTCTTCGTATTTTGTACAAGTATTAAAACGCAATCTGGAGATTAATTCTTGTGTCTGTCAAAAAAATAATAATACGCTAAGCGCTATTAACGGCCATTTAAAATTAATATTCGTTGGATTTTGGCTCAGTCGGGTTATCACCGTTCATTTCCTATCGGTGATCTGATACCTTTTGTGAAAGTATGTTAATAAGAGAATCGAATTTCCGATATATGATGTACCTATATCTAGGCAATTAACTGCATATCTCGATAATGTCTTATACCCTGCGAATTTGCTCCACAATTTTCTATTTGAGCGAGCCGAAACAGTTAGAGATGTTATCGTGTCAGTTAGCGGCGATAGCATTTTAATGAGTAAACAATCGATGCACGCCGCACCGCAGGGCGCCGCACGCGCATGGAACGCGTAGGTACGTACTTTTTTAATTTTACTGCCACTTGATGATTTTTTGGTGTGCTCAATACTTCTTGTATCTTGTGTAAAAAAATAAAAATAAACACCATATACCTAAATACTGAATTCAAAATTACTCACTTCCACATTAATCCTAAAGATTTACTAAGCTCCGCGTTGTGTAGCGCAGGACGCTGCTCGGAGAGGCGCTTGCGCATGGCCTGTGCGAACACCATGAATGCATTCATAGGCCGCTTAACATGAGTTCCTCGCATGCAACCACCGCCTCTGTATAAACAATATTATAATATGTTAGGCCAGCATCTTTTTCTAGTTGTATGTAGTAGGTACAGGTTACGAATTGAATTGTAGCCTATGAAACATGATTGTACTAACAGGGGATTCTATATGTATATTAAAGACTAGCTGACCCGCGCAACTTCGTCTGCGTCTCTCAATAGTAATAAATTTTCTCCGTTTTTGAAACATTCTTCATTGGTGCCCCGCTCCTGGTCTTAGCGTGATGATATATAGCCTATAGCCTTCCTCGATAAATGGGCTATCTAACACTGAAAGAATTTTTCAAATCGGACCAGTAGTTCCTGAGATTAGCGCGTTCAAACAAACAAACAAACAAACAAACAAACAAACTCTTCAGCTTTATAATATTAGTATAGATATAAGGGCCTGTTGGTCTAGTGGTTGAGTGGTGACCCTGACTGCTAAGCCGGAGGTCGTGGGTACGATTTCCACCCAGAACAAATATTGTGTGATGAGTACGATCATTTGTTCTGTGTCTGGGTATAAATTTATCTATAAAATGTATGTACTCGTATTTAGAACTATTTAAGTATGTTTATCAGCAGTCTGGTTACCATAGTACAGGCTCTGCCTAGTTTAGGTTCAGATTGCCGTGTGTGAGATTCGTCAAGTTATTATTATTCGTTATTACATAATACAATAATACTATATATTTAAGATATAATTATGTATATAAAGGAGAGAGAGGCTACAGTGAGTTACTCCCTGTGATTATTTTGTTGATTAGATTAAATAGAGTCTATCGCTTAATTATTATTACGGTACGCTTTTGAACTACGATTACTGTTTTAATAAATAAGTTGTTAGTAAATTCAATTGCTGACCGCTGATATATAATATAAAAATTATTTTAGTCATCAACAATGGGATTTAATTGATTGTATTCTACATATAATGCAAACAATAAAAGCGGCGTGAAGGGTCTATTCAACTCCGGTCGGAACGAAGTTCCTTTCGATTTTTGGTAGACGTTTACTAAAAAAAAGTCGGAAGAAAAGTCTTAGAACACATTTTTCGGTCTAGCTCTCCCATCCGCTCAGAGCGTGTAACGCGCGATAAGGAAATTCGTTTCAACATTCAATAAAATCCATAGCCGTACCTGTACCTTTATTTTTACTCAAAAAAATGGACCTTCAGTGAATAGGTATAACATACAACTAATAATAATAAAAATCCTTGACTACATCGTTAACTGATTGATATATCTATACAAAAATTTCTAAAGAAATTATAAAACATAATAATTTGTGATTTCTCCACTTGTGTTATTATTTTTGGATACAGTTATGAATAGCTCAAGCTTAGAGCCAAATGAACAAAAAGTTCATATTGACATAAACAATATGAAATGCGCACTTGAGCGGGCGCGGTCTGACTGTACTCAAATTGGTTTAGCTTTCGGCGCGCGCCCGATAATTACTAGGTAACCAAAGCCATCAAGCGAGGAGTCGACGACTATAAAGAAAATAAATTACGAGTTTACCCTTTATGTAGTCGTGCAGTAAACAGTGGTGCGCCAGCGCATGTAACATTTGTAAACAGCCCAAGTGGCGCGGGCTCACGTCATTTTACGCTCGTAAACATCTCTTATTTTATTACTTTTTTATTTTCTAATGCCGCGTTCGGGTTTCCTTGCGATCTGAATGCTGACAATAAATTATGTTTTTTTCTTCAAACACTGACACGCCACTAAAAGTTGATCGATTTCTAACGGATTACTCTCGGGAAGTAACATGAGTAGAAATAATCACCTACCGCTTCGGCGAACTTCCAGCGGTTTCCTTGTTTATTAGTGAGAACCAGTTCTCTTAACATTTAACTATTTTATTACACCAATACTAAACTGTGAAATAAATAGATGCCTATTTTTGACATTTCTATAGAAGAATTTTGGTTCCATTGTGTTGATGTCTGCATGCATAATTGAGCATAACTAATAGACTTTTAATCCATTACTTAAAAGTTATGATTTTGAGATACATTAAACACGGTTCATTTCATGGCAATCTGTTATCATTAACTATACTCCTTCATCCTTGGCAACCCTAGCTACCAGAAGAATCATTATTATCATACATTTCCTATGGAAGTATTATCCTAAGGAAGACTGTAAGTATATGGAGGGTCCCTTGACTTTTCTAGATGTCCCAAGGAAGACTGCAAGTAAAGGGATCCCTCTTTCTACAGTAGTTACTTAATAGGATGACGATGGTACGGCTAATTTTTGGTGACAAATTATTATGGTAATTCAATGGAGTGAATACAGCTATAACCAATTAATACTATCCTATTCAAATTTATTTAATATACACAATGTCACTTCTTCCATTTAACTAGTTTTGAATTATGTACCAGATTGTAAATGAATACAACATAAACCATTGTTTGGTTTAAATTCACAAATTTCTTCGCATCTGCTCTTCAAACTTCTATTATTAAGACGATAACTTAAATCATTTAAGCATATTCGAAAAAAAAACACATTTATAATATAAAATTAATTGCTTGGTTTAGAAAATAAACTTATAACACCGTGTGGATGAAAGATGGGTGGGCAGAGTCGCGTGCGGTCAATATAGTGTATTCTAGACAGATTTATAGCTGGAACATATACATGTGTCTAAAATTGCGTCTGCATTAATAAATATATAGCATAGGAGGACACGAAACGTAGTGAGGATTTTTTATACAATAGGTTTTTAAACCAGACCAGCTTTACCCTGACTGCTGTGGCACATTTCGGTTGGTCGGATTAGTAATGAGGAACAAAACTGATGTGAAAAGTAGATAAAAACAATATTTGAAGCGGTTTGTATATCGCGTCAAAATTAAGCTTATCGGTGAAGAATCTGTTTGAGTTTTAGAAGCGTGCAATTCAACATTTATATATACGAGTACATATGTATATATAGATTAACACTTAATATTAGAAAAAATCTAACTATATACATTTAATCTATTATGTTTTAAAGGCATAGAGTTTTACACTAAAACGAAATTAACTGAGGCATGATGGGCTTAACTTTATAAACTCAAGAGATTATGTTTAGAAAATGACAAGAGCTAGACATCTCTTTTATGACCAGTGGGTAGGTACATATGAACAGGCACCGCTTCCTTTTGTAATATAGAGTACTTGCAGTTTTTGTACGGCGACAGAAGGCCCACCGCGCGCCGCCATCTGGTTAGTAACATTGGCCTCTGACAATCACAGATAGTAACTACTTCAGTTTTAATTGCTAAGAACGTAGGTACATATTTGTTTCTATTTAAAGTGCTGCATAAATATGGCTAGTAGGGATTTTATTTAAATACTAAATAAGATAAATGTGTTGCTATTATTTTTTGTAGAAGTATCTTATGAAGGAAAGAGTTGATTAGCTTTCTATGGATTTATTTTGATATTGAGATGTAAATCTTTTAATTACTGACATTGCAAAATTGTGTGTACCTACAGAAATATTCCTATAAAATATGTAAAAATCTTTGCAATGAATATTATCTGTATAATAAAAACCTTCATCAAACATGTAAATTTAAATTCTAATTTTAAGTTATGTATTAAATGACGCTTGAGAACATGAACATGAACTGACGCTTGAAGCGGACATTATGGAGACAAGTAACAGCGATTTCATTTATGGATAACAGATTTTAGTACCTCTATCTCTATAAAAGTAACAGTTGTTTTATCTTCTGTTTTACACTAACGCTAAACTATTATTTAAGGAATGGCAGACTACGCTACGGTGTTTAAGAGTGGAGCACGGACTACACACAGTAAATAGGGGTGTAACTGCGGCAAACAGTTCGTTTATGATAACCTTTTTCAATCGGTAAGTATAACGACATAGGTGACAATGACATAGTCACATGGAGAAAAAAATAAAATTAATTTTTATTATTAAATATACATATGTCTAATAAAACAAATGTTAATTGCGATTTCTTGATTTTCATTTTTTTCGTCGATTAAACCATGATTTTATAATACAAAAATATGACAGTCAAATGCCTTTCCTATCCATGACTGATTTATCATTTCAGTAATAGTAACAGATACTTCCCATTACAACATTAAAATTAAATTAACTTGCATAAAACAACATGTTACAGCGACAAAAAGTTTGTATAGTCGTGCGCAGAATGATTTACAACCAGATTTCACAGTCATCCGACTGGCGTACATCTGTATAAGTTTAGGGTTTCTTATAAGTGCCATAAGTATAGGTTAACTATTGGTACCTACGCATAATTATGTTCATCTACAAGTGGTTTGAATGTATGGGGCACGTGTTTATTATATCCGTATTACTCAATCTTATTTTAAGTATGTTTTGTCTCAAACTGTTTTCGGGTGTTGATGTTTGTTTCAAGTTTGAATAACGATAAGTATTTGAGCCTTCGGCTTAGTTGATATAATGATTTGAAAGTTAAGTAAGTACCTATACAATATTAGGTATTTCGGCTGTTGAGCATAGTTATCAGTTATCGCATATTTTTTAAGGAATATGAAAGTAACCGACTTAGTGTAGGTAGTACTTTTGAATGACTTAATAGGGTATTTTTAAGCATTTCCGATCCTGTCTTTGATAAAGAACATAAATAGTTCATTGTCCCTTATTGAAGCAGTCAGGGATTACTTAAGGGTTGCTCTTAATCTCATTAAAGTAAGCATTTGCGACAAAGATAGTCTAGACTGGATTATTCAGAAACGATGTCTTTAAAGTAGAGAAACCCTACTATAATTAGATTTACTTTTGCTATAATGTCTTTTTCACAATATACGTAATGATAATAAATTAATAACATAGGAATAATTTTTGAACACGGCGGGCATCCAATTCTTGGGAATAAAGTGAATGGATAACAAGATTTATTGAATAAGTGCATTTTTTAAAAGATATATTGTCTATTCACTAAAACTCAAGATAATAAAGATTGTTTTAATTAGTGAAGTGAGTTAC